GGTGTGTGTAAACCTTAAAGTAGAGTTGGGTGCCAGCTTCACTCAACGAAAAATCAAATTTGAAATGTTTAGGGTTGTGTGTAAACCTTAAAGTAGAGTTGGGTGCCAGCTACACTCAAAGAAAAATCAAATTTTTATCTAAAAAAGTTTGCTGGAGTACCGGAGCCCAAAGTATCATTCTTCAAATTTTTATCTAATAAAGTTTGCTGGAGTACCGGAGCCAAAGTATCATTCTTCAAATTTTTATCTAAAAAAGTTTGCTGGAGTACCGGAGCCCAAAGTATCATTCTTCAAATTTTTATCTAACAAAGTTTGCTGGAGTACCGGAGCCAAAGTATCATTCTTCAAATTTTTATCTAACAAAGTTCGCTGGAGTACCGGAGCCCAAAGTATCATTCTTCAAATTTTGTTGAATGAAATTTATCATTCATAAAATTTGAAGAATGATGGTACTAAGTTGAATTTGGCTCTGGTAACAAAATTTGTCTGATGAAAATTTGACATTTGAAAGCAAAACTGCAATAGAATTTGACGTTTATTGTATTGATATGGCCCCTTAAGACCATGAACCATATGTTGATCTCAGTTAAAAAAAACCATTTTAAAAAAAATGGCCACACATTTTTTTTAATCAATGATACCTGTCACAAACTTTGTTTCCAACTCTGAATGCCTGTTCGAGGTTTCACGTTCAAATCTTCTCTTTTTGGTACTGCTCTTCCCGTTCTCTTCAATCTTTAAAGGATCGTCAAATTAAAGAGATCGTCAATTAAAAAGCTCGTCATGTTAAATTAAAGGAACCGTTAAATTAAAGGGATTATAAAATTAAAGGAACCGTTAAATTAAAGGGATTATAAAATTAAATGAACCGTTAAATTAAAGGGATTATAAAATTAAAGGAACCGTTAAATTAAAGGGATTATAAAATTAAAGGAACCGTTAAATTAAAGGGATTATAAAATTAAAGGAACCGTTAAATTAAAGGGATTATAAAATCAAAGGAACCGTTAAATTAAAGGGATTATAAAATTAAAGGAACCGTTAAATTAAAGGGATCATCAAATTAAAGGAACCGTTAAATTAAAGGGATCATCAAATTAAAGAAACCGTTAAATTAAAGGGATCATCAAATTAAAGGAACCGTTATATTAAAGGGATCATCAAATTAAAGAAACCGTTAAATTAAAGGGATCATCAAATTAAAGGAACCGTTAAATTAAAGGGATCATCAAATTAAAGAAACCGTTAAATTAAAGGGATCATCAAATTAAAGGAACCGTTAAATTAAAGGGATCATTGAATTAAAGGGATCGTTAAATTAAAGGGATCATCGAATTAAAGGAACTTGTTAATTACAAAGTAAATACATGGGATTTTAAGCTTTATGGGGAAAAAGGGGCATTGCAGATTTAGCTGATCTATTATCTAACCTCTGGAGTGGACTCAGTGTTTGTCTGGAGAGGATCAAACTCTGGATCAAAGACAGGGAGATGAATTCTTCGAACCTGGAACTCTCTAGAACAGTATATTAAAGAGACTGTTTATGTTATTTAAAGATTCACAACATTTTATTGAAAATATTTTAGTTTACATTATTAAAATGTACAGCTTGCAGTCAAAGCGAGTTTTGGATTTCTACTATTATGAAAATATTTATTGAAAGGAACTTTAAACTCATAATTTTTCTAAAAAACACTTTATAATACACTGTAACCCAAGTAGACAAGAGTTAAGAATAATAATGATAATAATGATAATGATGATAATGATGATAATAATGATAATAATGATAATAATGATAAAAATGATAAAAATGATAAAAATGATAAAAATGATAAAAATGATAAAAATGATAATAATGATAATAATGATAAAAATGATAAAAATGATAAAAATGATAAAAATGATAAAAATGATAAAAATGATAAAAATGATAAAAATGATAAAAAATGATGATAATAATAATAATAATAATAATAATAATAATAATAATAATAATGATAATAATGATAATAATCATAAAAAATGATATTAATGGTAATAATGATAATAATGATGTTTTCTATTGCATTATTAAAAATGTTTTAAATGATGGAGTTTCTTGAAATTATTTGGTTTAATTTACCTAAGAAGACACTCTATAGTTGAGATCTCTGTAAATCCGTGAGATTTTAACGCTTCACAAGTCTGCTGAACCTGCTCTATACAAGGGGAGAAGGAGCACAGACGACCTCCACTCAACTTTAAATATTATTCAATCAATTTATAACAAATAATAAATAAAAATCAAAAATAAACAGAAAACAGCAGTGAAAAGAGTTTTAATACGGAAAAACTATTTATTTCATGAAAAAGGGTTGAAGAAAATTAATTGTCCTTAATTAACTAAAACCAATTTGAATTCCAAAAGTTAATAGACGCGTTGTTTAGGTTAAGTGTATTGCAGAAATATAAACAAACTTGAGCATCATCTTAGCTTTGTCCTCTCCGAAACTGAAGTACACAATCTTTTTTAACTAAGCTTTAAAGAGAGTGTATACGTTTTATTGAGAGGTATGTTCAATTCACCATAACTGTACCCTTTAACAACAACGGAAACGACGTCACATTGTTCCCGGAAGTACTTCTCAGCAAGAAAAATAAAGATACATCCTTCGTTCAGGTTTAAAGGGTTCCATGTGAATCAGCGATGCCAGAGTCTAATAAGAATTTCTAAACTTCCATTCAGTGCTTAGGATCCATTTAATTTTGATGCGGATCCGGATCCTGGATCCGCTTTTCAAAAAAATGGATCCAGTGGCCGAATTTAAAGAATTTGAGCGGCGGTTTAAATTAAAGCCGCGGCTTAAATATGGTTGGTTCCACTTAAAATTGTATCAAATATTTCAAGATTTAAGCCAGCGCTGAATTTAAACCGGGTTTTGGCAGATTTAAACCGTGGCTCAAATTCTCTAAATTCCATCTCAGGTCATTGATCAAAAATTTTTTTTATTTTAGTTCAAATATCTTTTCATACCTAAAAAAAATGTTAAACATTTTAACATTTTTTTTAATACTTTTTTTCTACTAGTTTGCACAAAATGATAATGATTTTTTTTACTTTATTGGATGAAAAAGAAACAGGTCTAATTCATATTAGCTTTTAGTAGAAGGAGGGCGTTTGGAATATCTGCCTTCAGGCAACTCCTTAGGTCTGATTTGAATATCTTCAGGGCAGAGAACAGTCTCTTTATATACGCTAACGCTAACGCTAACGCTAACGCTAACGCTAACGCTAACGCTAACGCTAACGCTAACGCTAACGCTAACGCTAACGCTAACGCTAACGCTTTAGACCTGTCCACAGATCAACAGGAAACCATTCGGCCTTGGGCTTTGGGGAGGCCTCGCAGGCCAGACATTTTATCGCCTCCCTGATATCCTACCTTTAATGATTTTTTAGCGTGAGGAATACAGGACCAGGGACGGGGCAGGTCGAGGAAAACTGCATTAGCTGTATTCTCAAGATCAAATCCATTCTCACAAACATCTCTGCAAATGATTTAACATTATACATTGACACAGGGAACAGAAAATTAAAAATCAGAAATCTGTGTTATGAATATAATCTCTCAAAAAAATTAAATGTGAAAAAAAAGATTGGTCATGCTTTAACAGTTAAAAAGTGCGACTTATTAAAGTCAAAAAGTGTTTATGTTTAAATCAAACAACGTATGAATGAATACATTAATGAATACATTATGTGAATGAATTAATAAATGAATAAATAAGTAAAGACACCTATGGTAGCATGTTACAAGGTGGTCCACCCCATGCTCCTTAAACTCCTCTCTGGCCTTCTCCACTCTCTGCTGGTGGAAGTCAAATGTGTGAAGGTGGCCTCCAGGACCAATTGTTCGAATTAAACTAAACAACGAATAAAACCTCTAATTTTTAAAGCGTTATTTCTGCAGAATTGTGAAACAAAGCAGATAATTAGCGAAAACTGAATTACTTTTTGGGTAAAATAATGATAATAAAATAATATCGATCAATCCTACAATCCTCAGAAAAAGTATAAAATGGGGGAAAACATGTCATTTCATATTTCAAAATTTCATTCCCCCGACCCCTTTTGTAACTCATCCAAGCGATTATTCCATGAATATGAGTAAAAACTAATTGACAATGTCTTTGTGTTTTCTTTTAATTAGTATCACAGCCAAGTCTTTGCCACAAACTCTGATTTCCTAATCCCTAGATCTTTACAACCCAATACCTTAGTTCTTAGTTTTTTCAAACCATGAATTGTGTTAGATAAAAAATCTACGTTTGAAATATTAAAGGTTTACACCATTAGGTTGCAAAGATTAGGTATAAGAGAATTCGAAAATCATTTTCAGTGTTTTAATACAAAAGACAACAATCAATCCACATTTTTTCTCAATTTATAATGTTTTTTAAAACTGGGGGAAAGTTCACTGAGAAAGTAATAAAAATAAAATGTTTTTTTTTTACCCGCATGATCCCCGTTAAAAAAATACAACATGGAGACCTTTAAAAAAACACATTAACAGGGAGGTAAACTGTACCCAGACTAAATAGTAAACAATGTGTTGTTCTTGATAAAAACGCAATTTACAAGAAACTGAGGCCAAATTTTAAGAATTTGAGCCACGGCTTTTGGAGACGCAGCTCAAATATGGTTGGTTCCACTTAAAATTGTATTCAATGTTTCAAGATTTAAGCCTGAGTTCAAGTTAAAACGGTTCTGGCGGATTTGAAATCGGCTTAAATTCATTTAATTAGGACTTTGACTGATTTGAATTTTTACAAAAAAATGTTCCCACAAACTATAGTTTACATTTTATGTGTACCTGGTTTTAACTCTAGCTGTAGAATAATCATGGCTATATCAGTTGCGTACAGAATCTGAGTTCTAAAAACAATGTCTTTAAAAGAAAGGAAAATAACTTTGGATCAATTTTCTTTATGAACTTAAAGGGACCATACAAGCATTGTGTGATCAAACAAACAAACAAACAAACAAACAAACAAACAAACAAACAAACAAACATCCCATCATTCTTCATTCCGTAGATGTATGAATTAGATATAAATTTTTTAAACTTTAAATACTGACTATTTTTCATTAGGATATCCCTACAAAAGTAACTTGTGTATTTCTACTCAGAAAAAACATTTAGAAATGATCAGATGTAAACACTTTTAAACCTAGAAATGTTACAATATCTTCCATATTATTGATAAGATAGGATATTCGGGCATTGCAATCTTTGAATAAAGGGTCACTTAGAGAGTATACTGGTCATGTGATTCAGTCAAGAGACACGTAACCCCTATTAACAATAAAATAATAATTGTAGAAACCATTAGTTACAATTAGGTTTCTCTGGGATATCTTCGTTTTCAGATTGGTTGCATCAAATCAAATCAAGTAAGTTTAAATCTGAAAGGGAACCCAATGTGGAACCCCCAGACTGCATATTTGCTGAATATGATCTGATTAAACATACTATTTCTATACAAAATTGTATATATATATATGAATTTTCGTATAAATTTAATACAGTTTTCAATCAATTTCTCGAGACAGGAACATCAGATATAACTTTCATGGGTCGCGATCAAGAGCTTAAGTGATTAGCTTTCAGCCTATACCCCCTATCATTTTTCCTTTATAGTCCCTTTAAAGATTGCGCAAACAGTCCCTTTAAGGTATATCTTGTACTAACCTATGTGGTAGGGATTTAGTCCATAGTTCAGGAGTAGGATGAAGAATATGAGCGTATCCTTTACTAAGTGTCACCTAAAGGAAGTATTTTAAAATATATCAGTTCAAAATATTTAAAAAGATTTTTTAAAGTGCAAAACAGTTTACTTTTGTGCTAAATAGTTTTAGTTACGCTGGTGCCGAACAGATTTGCCTTGGTGTCAAAATAATTTACGTTTAAAGCAAAATAATTTACGTTTAAATCAAAATAATTTACGTTTAAATCAAAATAATCTACGTTTAAAGCAAAATAATTTACGTTTAAATCAAAATAATCTACGTTTAAAGCAAAATAATTTACGTTTAAATCAAAATAATTTACGTTTAAAGCAAAATAAATTTCGTTTGTTGAACAAAGGTGTATCCAATTTATCTTAGTCTTCTGGAAAAATATATTTTCTACTTTGTGCTGAGTTGAAAACTTTAGAATGAGATCTCCTTAATACCGATTACTTAATCTGAGTATCCAATGGACACACTTTTGATTTTCTTCTTAAACTGTTCTTTCTTGGATATAGTAGAGAAAAATCAAAAGCCGATTTTTCTAATTGAGAAAGTCCCTCCCGTTTCAGAATATAGTGGTGCGCAAAATTTCAAATTTATCGGATTAATATACGCGACTCTGATTGGTTGATATTTATACACTGTTAAGGAAATAAGATTAGGTTAGTCTCGATATGAAGAAACAGAGAGGATTAAGCATAAATCTCGATATCCACTATTCTAAAGTTTTCAGCTCTGAACTATTTACCCGAATGTCAAATTACTTATCTCTTTGTGCCAAATTATTTACCTTTGAACCAAATTATTTACCTT